AAGGCTGCTGCACCTGGCGGAGAAAAATACTTCTCCACGGTGCCTTAATCAGCTCTCGACCCTCAGTCCCTTTCACTGTTCTCTCCCCCAAGCCCAGTTAGCCGGTTTGTTTGGGTCTTTTACACAGCAACAGGGGCAAGAAACCGCAGGACCAAGTGGCTGTAGAGCCACTAAGCTTGGCAGAGGGACTCAGCCGGGTAATGTACCTTACACAGAGCTTCTGAAATTGACGTGAGACCGTCCCTCAAAAATCTGCCTCCACATGCACGAAACAAGGGCAGGTGAAGCCTCCCCCCCCCCGCAAGAGCCACACTGAGGTGACCCCCCCCCCGAACAGGTTCACGCAGCTTCTCAGCACTGTAGGGAGGAGGCACAGAGCTGGCTGCCCAGGACACAGGGGAAGCAGAGCTCCACCTGGACACAGGGAGAGCTGCCAAGGGGGCCTCTGCTGCACTGCTGGGAGCTGGGGTAGCACCGCGCTTGACAGGAAGGAGGATACTTTAGCTACCCCCAAATCAATCAGGGCTTCAGGGCATAGCAGACAGGCTGTTTGTGAGGCCAGGCCAGAGCTGCTAGGCTCCACTTCCCGCAGGACCCCCAGGCCACCTACCTCCCGCCCCACAGCTGCCTCCTGCTCTCCACATTACTGACCCCTCAGGTACAAGCACTCTCCCTGCCAACACCCTGTGTGCCCTCCTCCCTTTTCTCCTCCAAACACACCCCTTGCCAGTGCCCCACTCCCCCTGCCCCACACAGCACCCCATCCATACACCCCGATCTGTGCCCCCTCTCTGCCCCACCTGCCCCCTTCCAAACACTTCCCTTACCCCACATAGCACCCCCACCTGTGCTCCCTCTCTGCCCCACCAGCATCCCTTCCAAACACTACCCTTACCCCACACAGCACCCCATTGATACACCCCCATCTGTGCCCCCCTTCCAAACATTCCCTTTACCCCACACAGCACCCCATCGATACACCCCCATCTGTACCCCCTCTCTCTGCCCCACCTGCCCCCTTCCAAACACTCCCCCTGCCCCACACAGCACCCCCACCCACACCCCATCTGTGCCCCCTCTCTACCCCACCTGCACCTCTTCCAACCTCCCCATCCACACACCCCATCTGTGCCCCCTCCCACAGTACCGCTGGAACAATGTGTACGGGGGGGGGGGGGGGGCTCGAGAGCCATTGAACCAAACTGCAAACCCTGGATATGACGGAAACCACTTCC